AGTAGAACTTTTTCTACTTTTTCAAAACAGAAGTTTTGAAAAAGTAGAACTATTTCTACTTTTTCAAAACTTCTGTTTTTTTAAAGAAAAGTTTCAAGTACCCAAATATCTAAGTGGTGACAATAAAGCCACTTTTTAAATTATTAATTCCCAATATATATATATATATATATATATATATATATATATATATATATATATATATATATATATATATATATATATATATATATATAATATATATATATATATATATATATATGTATATATATATATATACATATATATATATATATATATATATATATATATATATATATATATATATAAAATATGTTAGTTTATTCTACAAATAGAGTTCTCAATGTTCTTAAAGAAAAGAGCAATAATAATTAAGTAAAAACACTTATCTAATTTTTGTGCTCTTCCACAGCATGTTTCACCATCAGTAGGTTCATGTTCCTGATGAACATACTGATGGTGTAACATGTTTTTACTAAATTATATATACATATATATATATATATATATATATATATATATATATATATATATATATATATATATATATATATATATATATATATATATATATATATATATAATAATAATAATAATAATAATAATAATAAAATATGTAAAATTCAATAAAAACGGCTGCGTATAAACTTTTTAAAAATATATATTTGTTTTTATTTTAATATATTTTTTCGATATTTCGCTGATCTATTGTGATCAGCGTCATCAGGTGTAATAAATAAAAATCGTTACAAAGAAAATTGTTAAAATAAAAACTAACCGTTAAAATTTTTAATGTTATCTTTTTAACGGTTAGTTTTTATTACAACAATTTTCTTTGAGACGATTTTTATTTATTACACCTGATGACGCTGATCACAATAGATCAGCGAAATATCAAAAAAATATATTAAAATAAAAACAAATATATAATTTTAAAAAGTTTATACGCAGCCGTTTTTATTGAATTTTACATATTTTATATATATATATATATATATATAGTATATATATATATATATATATATATATATATATATATATATATATATATATATATATATATATATACATATATATATATATATATATATATATATATATAAGGTTAAAATACATTGTATAATTGAGATTCTTAGATTTAATATAGATTCGCTAAGTATCATAAAAATAGTTTTCAATCAAGTTCAAAACTTTTTTAAAAACAAAACATGCTCAGTTTCAAGAAAAAAGATTCTGGCTGTCAAAACAGAAAAAATACAGCAAATAGGACAGCAAATGAGCAAAAACATAAACGTACACTCGAAGATTGTGGTATACAAGTTAAAAAAAATGACGGGGATAGGCCTACAGTTTCCAGATTGATATTTATAAACTCCTCTCAATCACGTCAAGCTTTTGAAATAGTAAGTTCATTTATCTAAACATAACCTTCTTTTTCATATAACTATCCTATTATAGAATTATTATATAAATCAAGACATTTTTAAATATTTTATTTTATTTTCTATAGGATAGCTTTGCAAATGAGTCTTATAAAATTTTGTTGAACTCAAAAGAACCACTTCCTCCTTCGAGTGGCACGTTTACAATGTCGGCAACAAGAGTTGAAAATGAAAACAATATTTTGGTAAAGTTTGCTTCGCAAAGATCCTTTTAATTATTTTTGTGAATTTGTGAAAATTATATACTTATTAAAATCTTTATTCAAAGTATTAGAATAAAGATAAGATGGGTGAGGCAATTACTACAAACGATCCTGCTTCCCAGTGGGCAAGAGTCGTCCGGAGGACGTCTGCTGGACGTCTCATGGACGTCCAGACGTCCGTAAGACGTCCAATGGACGTCCCCCGGAGACGCATGCCCACTGGGTTTGTAGGCTGAAAATATGTCTAAAGTAGAACGCGATGCAGTTGTTCTTCAGGGACCTCCTAAAAATCCTTTATCTTTTCCGAGAACCTCGAACAAGATTAAGGTTCCTGAATCAGTTTTCCACGAAATAACTCGTAATGGGGAGAAAATAAACAGAGATTGGCTTGTTTGGAGTGCAACTTTAAAATCATTTCTTTGCTTTTCATGCTCACTTTTTGGAAGCAAACAAGCCTGCGGGGCTGATAATAATTCACATCTTCTACGTTGAAATGGTGGCATCAATGGAAACTGGAGAAAGCTAGCTGAAAAAGTAAAAAGCCACCAAAATAATCCTCACCATCGAGACTATTACATTAACTGGAAAACAGCACTGGAAAGCTTGGGAAATCAATGTGGAATTGATTAAAGTTTAGAAAAATTGATAAGAAATGAGGCAGCCAGGTGGCGAGAAATTTTAAAGTGCATTTTAGATGTAATTCTCTTCTTAGCATCACGCAACCTTAGCTTCAGAGGTATATTTGTGAACATTATTATATTTATGTTTACGTTATAATTTATTTTAACTATAATTATACAGAAAGTCATGATTTATATGTGTAATTAAAATCGATGTTTTAGACTCATCAAAAATGATCGGTGATGACGATAACGGCAATTTTCTTGCAACTCTAGAGCTACTCGCAAAGCACAACAAGACTCTTTAGTTACATCTAGAAAGGGTTTCTTGCTGCCAACAAGAAGGTAAACAAATTGTTGCGCATTATTTAAGTTGGAGTAATCAAAATGAATTTATAAAAAATTGCGGAAGAATCGTTCTCGGTGCCATCATTAAAAA